ATCACTAATGCATCATACAACTTAACTTACTACTTTATCTAAATCATGAAGTACAACACAGTGCTAGTTTTCAAACTTACAACAATCTTATTAACTGATTTTATAATAAGAATAATCAGCAAACTCCATAGTTAACAATAGCCTCCAATCATATCATAACTTTCAGCCAATTAATATGGTCCACCATAGAAAACGAGACAATGAACTTGATACCATACCGAAGAAACATTAATACGTTGAAATAGACACAGCTACAATAAATCTGAGCTCAGGAGTGAATATTTCTTAAAAACTAAGAAAACTTTATTCAGTCAAAGTGGCCAACAAAATCTGCCTGGGCTCCTCTAATCTGTCTTGGCATGCTTGCATGTTTTCGTAGTTAAAAGATATCAACCTAGAAATTATTCTAATTTAACTATATTTGTAAAATATTCCTATATCTATGGTAAAATTAGAAAAATTTTGATTTAGAATACATACAAGTTCTCCGCAGTCAGCACCATAACCATGGGTTGGGTGGCGTGCACGACCAAAATTACCAAAATTACCCAACTTATACTATCTGTCTACGCCAATAACACGATTTAATTCAAAATTTCTTCATGACATTTTACGACATACATTTTCGTTAATATTTCACGTAATCACTTTAAACAGTTAAAGTTTGTTTCGCATCAGCAACTAAAATAGAATTGACTTCGTTCCGAATGGAGTTTCACACTATCATGATTCCAACCCGTTTCACTTGAAATATAAAGTTTATTCTAATAAGTGCATTTGGTATGACACACCTTGTCACCACATATACAAGCCTGGAATAAGCAGACCAAGATAGAACAGTTGCCGGGCAAAAAGTAGGCAATCAGTTGTTTGCCCGGCTAAATCAATTTGATCAGCTACATATTGTCACCGCTCCACCGCGTAAAAATACCGTTCAAATTAAAAATTACAAACTATCGACTCTATTTAAATTCCATTAACCGGTCCTATTTAAATTCCATTATCGCTGTTCTTCCTCTCCGTCTGTCATTGTATCACAGTGCCATATGCCATATGGTTGTGATTCCTTGATTTTATTTTCCAAATTTGTCATTGTTTTCTGAAAGATGTCGGCTTGTTTTGCTTGAAGCTTTGATGTCGGTCATAACAAGTGTGGCTCATAAACGCTCGGCCAAGGATCCGCACGAGCAGACTTCCTGGGTGCCATCAGAACACAACCATGGGTAAGGGAACCAGGGTAAACTCAACCCTGATGAAATAAGATCATTAACTTAACGAACACATCCCTCAGCGGGGGATGTTAATTACCGCACATTACCGCACAGATTACCGCCGCGCGAACATCTGTTTCAAGTATCTGTAATTTAGTAAACAACCGGTCGGCTCTCCAGAAGTACTACACCTGTAAAGTGTAAACCTGTAAAAGGTAAAAACTATGCTCTGGTAAAACTTTATGGGTGCCTTACCTCTGGGTTGGCATAACTAGCAAGCTTTAATATGGCTAAACGCCTACCAATATTTTCGCAGTTCGTTTGTTATCAAATTACCGAATTTTTGTTACAATACCTGGAAATAAAACTGTTTACAGCCGTTACCGGGTCAAATGTTCAAAAGGTACATATTTGACGGTAATTCAAATTGTTTAATTGTGTTTTATAGACGTTTTTGCTGATTGGATTAAACGTTATCGCACCATTGAGTGAACCTAAATAAATGGTAATGAGTTTAATGTCTCAAAGTAATTAAGATTTATAATTGAATAATCATAAGATAAGCCCAATCGTGAGTCGATACACTATCTTTACACTACTTAAAAGCTTATACTTAAAATCGTTATACCTTAAGCTATAGTTTAATCTACCAACATCGAAATTGTATGATTCGATTATTCAGTATTTCATTATATATATATGTACGCTGCAGTCTACCTTCAACGGAACGACTCCGAAAGGTACATTTTAAATTTGAGGATCAATCTGATATTGGCAGCCTTTTTATCTGAGTATCTGTGATGATCGGATTATTTTTGAAGGACAACGATTCATCAAGCATTGAACGAATGATGATCATAAACGTTGACACCGTGACCCCAATTTCCCTCAAACTTCGAACTTAAATCAAAGCTCATGGTTAAAATTGGTAAGGGTCGCCTCATTATTCGGGACGTTATTCTATTTATGTATCTGTAAGAAAAGTAGGTATTGTTATAAATTTTTGCCGTAAACTTTGCGAATAATTCATAAGTTCGTATATAGCTTCGTCTTGGATTTTAGGGATTCGTAGGCGAAAGCAAGCATGGACATTGGATAATATCGTTTGAGTGATTCGATGGAAAATGTAACCTGATTGGACATTTGAGATTTCCCTTTGAATGAAGCAGACGTGAGACATGCATCAATGTAATTGAGTATCCGGAAGAACCTTAGCTCAAATTTACGGTGAAAATCAAATCCTTGGTTACGGCTGGACCGCAATTATAGAGAAATAGGATACGGTCCGGGGCCAGCGAGACGGCGGTGTCTGGATTACTTGCTTGACATCAGCAAGTCAAACACCAGCTAATGTATACCTAAAGCCTGTCCACTTTTCAGTCTGCTTGTCAGCGACGTTTTAGTGTTGACAACGCTGCCGCACTTCAGTCCTTGGAACTTTTTCAGTACCCACCGGTCTTGATAACGTGCCATTACACGCCTGTATACTTCTGAACTCGATAAACGAATATAAACTTCTGATTGCCCGGTGGGAACATTATTTGCCTCTACCTTGCTGGCTGCTGTAGTTGTCTGACAACCCGCTAGTGTCGTCGAGAGAGAGGATGAAAAGTCAGTACTTTAACGCCGCGTGCTCTACACACTCCCCGCCTTCAACGAATCCCTACGCGAAATTGACAGCTAAGAACGAACCTCGCTGGTAATGAACTAGACGCGCTCTAGATAGTTTAAGTTAACAATTTCTGACATTTCTTTGTTTATACTCTGTGCAATTAGTTCAGGTCTTAATAATAATATATAGTTCACCAGTCCAGTCAGCTGTGTGCCGACTTTTTAAACTTTTGATATCGACACATTTTTCTCGGTTCAGCGTTTACTTATCAACTTATCAAGGCACAAATACCAGGAGTTTAGCAGTGACTCCACAATATACTGAGCAGTTATATTTAGCTGTAGATGTCCGTGCCAACTGATGATCCGGGGTAGGGAGTACCGGTCAATTCAGGGTCGCGTGTGAGGCTCTGGCCACGGCACGAGCCGTACATCCGTCAGCTCAAATCAGGTTTATACAAGAATAATATGATACTTGTTACGGCTCATCTAAGAAGATACTTGATATGCTAACACAGCAACACAATGACTTTAAGCCACCTTAGTGCCACAGTCTTTTTGGCGGTGTGGTCCACAAAAGTAACTCCAGTTTTAGAATTTCGGTAGGCTTGTTCTACTCCAGTGAATTTTTGTGAAAAAGTCTTAAATATCGTAATCTACACCATCGTAGCCCCATAAACAGTCCCAAAACCCCGATCATGACTCCAGCGCTGTCACAGGACATCATTCAATTAAATTAATTTGCGCATGTATTCTATCTCCGCGGCGGGTGCCACTTAAATTTCTCCTTTTTGAAGGTACATTAGGTAGTGCCGTAATGGGTATCCTTCGAGATGATTATATACAATATTATTAGTTTTGCGTTTTGTAGCGTTTCGACTCTGTATTAGGGACGTTAGATTCATCACCGTATTCGAATTTTGGTCGTACGATTCAAGGACAGAAATAAAACAGTTCTCTCGGCTTCTTTTCAGTGGACCCGATCCTTTTAGCAACACGATCGCCAGTAGATAACATGACAAGCAATTGCATTTATTACAGGTAGATAATAAAACATTGAAGTAGTGGACAAAAGTCACCTATTTGCTCGTTAAATCTTTATCATTGACTTCTTGAAATAGGTACTAATACCATTTTATCTATGTGCAGTACATGATGAAGCGATAGTGTATCATCGTAGTACTAAAACTGTTTGTTCTCAGTTTCATTTACAATAGTATAGTATTCTTAGGCATATATCAATATAGACCAAGGAAAACTTTCCTGTTTTAAGTAAGTACTAAATACGTATGTGAGTTCTAGCAATGATCATTTGCCAGTGATTTATTCCAGTGCTAATTTCATAACGGCTTGAGAAAAGGGATAGGCTAGCCCGTAATAGAGAATTGTGGTAAATTTGAAACGCTACATGACTTATTAAAGACAGGCCATAGCCCACTAGTGGTTCGCTTTAAGAAGTCCAGTTACACGATAACTAGAGGAACAGCTGGCCGCAAAAACCGCTTAAAGTCACTGACCGTATAACGACTGGGAATGCAACTTGTACGTTTTTTCCGGGTCGCAGAACTGCATTTTAAAGGTTGCATTTTGCTTAACCTGTACATTGTTCATGTTGTTTCGGAGTGTGCGTGTGGCCCTAAATTTACTGAGTTTTTTCTCTCGATGCTCCGATGCAGGTAGCTGCCGCAGCACACAGATGGAGGGAGAAAAACCGGCAGTTGTCTGTGGTTCAATCGGATTATGCGACAGGAAACAAGACCACCGACAGCCAGGGTTCTTATTCAAGAGTCCGGGAAAGAGCAAGGTTATTACTGGTCGTTAAATGTGTCTACTGCAGACTGCAAAATCTAGACCCATTTATTAAGTTCACATCGTATTACAAACTGCTTATTAACAGTATGATGTCTAAAGGAAAAATTGTTAAGACGCAGCTGGCGTAATAATTGTCATCACGGTTTTCGCGGCAGTAACACCGTATAAATCGGTCATTCTCTAAAACACTTTACCATTAAAGTCTTGTATTCATGTAGTAATTTATATTGTATCTAACAGAGAGAATCAGGTTTAAATAGTACCCTCAAAGCAGTCTCTATAATAAGTGTAGTGGTAATTCTAACCCGATGTTACTTATCAGAGACATGGTGTATTTATCATGATGGTAACATGTTTTATTTTCAGCTCGATGGCGGCGGCGCCGGGTTTGCTTGCACCACGAGCACCGACACCCACTGCCGAGGAGAATGAGGGCAAGACTGTCGCTAACGGGCTTACGGATCAGAAAGTTATAAAGATTAACGTCTCAGGTAACTGTTTGTAAACTTTTATCAACTATTACCATACCTTAACTGTATACTGCAATTCTTTACTTTTTGGTTAAAGAATTTGAAATATTGTCCACTGCATAGTATTCCTATTTAATTTGTTAACAACGCAACACTTATTCTTGCTACTGTGTTCATTCGTTAACTTTCGGCTACAACGTTTGACTTCAGTTATACTTTTTAGTTAAACAACATAAAATAATATCTGCTTCCAAGTATTGTTACAATTAGATACATTTAATTTGTTAGAAGCAACTCTTAATTTTGTGAGTCAAGTATGTTCACTTACAACTCAAAAGCAGGTGCACCCATTGTCCAAGGCATCACCACTTCTCTAGCATGTCAAATGTCTAAAATGGTCAAAGTTCGCCGTTTGTAATGGTCTATATTCTCACGGATAGACAGTATCTCAATCTGCCTGATTCGGGTTCCCGCCATCTTTTACTGCGGCTGGCTTTACCAAATTGTTAGGGAAATTTCCAGCCACATTGCATGTGATACCCTGCTGGAAGGCTTCAACCCGGGGCGACACTCAGCCCTGTCAGTAGCCTAAATAGGTTACCTACTCAACTGTCGTGATACTCTCTAATATGAAAATAATATCCTAGCCGCTTCACAATCCAGAATCCTGTGTCTAGGATCTAGGGTAATTTCCTGGTCTGTAAGAAGCCCCGTGCTAGGGTGTAGCAGTAAAGAATCGACTAAAACGGTTCAGACTTCAGACAATAATATAATAATTAAAAGAGGGTTAATATAGTTTGGGAAGTCTGTACTGGGATTTTATCAAGTCTGATAAAATTGTAGCCCAGGGAGGAATATTAGAATAGTCTGAGTCATAACTTTTCGAGTCCACGCAAGGCTTTACATCAGCTCTTTTTACACTGCCTTATTATTTCCTTGACGTAAAGAAAGTTTACCGACTGTACAGGGCCTTATTTCCAGTAAGTAGTTTCAACCGATTATATGTCCACTGAGAAGCATTAGCAATTTACCTGTAGCTTCAATCCTAATATCAGAATTAATATCTGAGAATTGTCTGGAATATTTTCAGACTCTACCGTATTTTTACAGCTAAGTGAATAACTTCTTTTGTAATGGCTATGTAACGGTAAGTGGTGTGTAACTGTAACCATTTTAGAAAAATGGATAGCCATAACTGAAAATGGATCGTAAATGCCATGAATCCATAAATATAGCCTACGTGGGCAGACTCTATACTATAAGTATAACAGTGCTTGAGAATTTATAATGGCTAAGGCTTTGAAAATTGGCGAAGAGATGGCTCAAATCCATTTGGATGCGTGACAGCAATTAATAAACGACTTGCAACCAAATACTCAAATTTCTGACGTCTGCCATAACAGCTCACGTCATCCCCTTTTGTACCTGGTACCAGGCTGCAATTCAACTGAATTAGGTTGGGTTACTTTGCTTCTGGGCATCTTAAACCGTAATAAACCAGAAATATAGATGTTCTGTTGAAGTTTCACCCCGGAAACCATATCTCGATTATAGATCGTTTATAATTATAATAGGTAGGATTTCAAGTGATCACTCTATAATACCGGTATGTTAACGAGTATAAGTAGAACCTGCCTATTTAACGGGTGTATTGGCAATTGAGAAAATTCCGTTTATTAAGCAGATAAGGTGTGTGACCCAAATCAGTATAATTAAGATGATTTCACACCATCAAACTTACCTAATATCAAATATGATTATTGATCAATAATTAATCATTGTTATTGATCGTAGATCTAGATTATCGAGCGAGGAGGTAGCTATAATTCATCTTACCCAGTGGAAATCGGGGTTAAAATCGTGGTTATTTTGCAATTAAGTGAAAGCTAACGACTGTGACTTGTAACAGTCAACTTTTCTAGGCAGTTTCTAGGCATCCTAAAGACAGGAATAAGCTCTTATCAGCTCTACCCATTTTCTATGAATTGGCAACAATCCATTTTTTCAGGTTACAAGTTTTACACATATCTGTCGACATTGACAAACTATCCAGATACCCTACTTGGAAGCACTGATAGGGAATGTCATTTCAACAAGGATATTAACTGCTACTTTTTCGACAGGTTTTTGGAAGTTTTTTTTTTCCAATTTTGACTGTAATTGATGTTAAATATCTCTTCCCAATTATGTTTTAATTCCATGCAATTAAATATACAAAAATATATTTGCTAATACCTTTTAGTACATAAAAGTAGAACTGACCTGAAAATTGTGTTTCAGAAACAGAAAAGCTTTTGAAGCGATCCTCAACTTTTACAGAACCGGCCATCTTCAGTGTCCAAACTCTGTGGAAATAAAAGATGTAAGTTAACTGCTTTCATAAGATTGAGCTCCAATCACTTGATGTGATTTTTCGAGTCATCTGAACGAGCTAACGATCATTTTGATTTTGTTTATATTTTGACTAGTAATCTGAAATTTCAACATGCACATCATTATTATAAAATTTAAATATTGTGCATTTAAAAATGTCATCAAACAACTTTTTGTTAAAAATTCCACATTTTTGATGGTAGTTGATTATAAACCAGGCCACAGAACGACTGAATACAAATGTTCTGTTGAACTTGGAACATATTTTCACAAGAAAATAATCTCTCCTGATTCAGTTTGAAAATGAGCTCGAGTTTTTTCGGATCACAGCCAGAAACAACGAAGAGAACGCGCCCGCCAAGCGGAAACCACCACGACACAAGGGCTGGCCCCGATGGCAGCGGAAAATATATTATGTGGTAGCAGAGCCCGGCGAAGACATCAGATCCCGAATCTGGGCTTTCGTGGACACATTTTTCATATTATGTTCAATCATTCTGTTTATTGCGGAAACCGAACCCTATTTCAAAGAAAGGATTGCCGAGAAGAACTCAACATGGTATTACGTGTTCTTCTGGGGGGATGCCGGATGTGTCTTGTTCTTCTCCGCGGACTTTTTAATCCGATTGGTAGTGTGGCCCGGTAAACTCGGTTTCGTAAAGTCAGTGTTGAACTGGTTAGACTTTTTAGCGATCCTTCCATTCTTTATCATGATCATAACAGAATATATGATCAGTGGAGACCCAAATAACCCTGACGCAGCGGATGGAAGTAAAGGCCAATTTGTGGCTTTGAAGGTAAGAAATGTGATCGAACATAATTAAATTGGTTAAGAGGTCTAATATTTCGATTCCTCGACATTCTCAAATATACCAATAAATATATTAGGGCAAATTATAATCTAAATGCTTGAATCTTACCTCTGCACACTATATCAAGTCGGCTGGAAGAGCACTCGAAATTTCGTTAGCTATGAATTCTCCGATGATAAACTGCAACTGCTTCATTCTATTTATATGGACCATTATGTGAAACCTAGGAAATGTTTGATACATTTAAACGCGATAATTGAACTGTCCACATGTTTTGTCAGGTATGACATATTTTACAAGAGCTCTAAATAAGCCACAACAGCATTTACAATTGCATAAATGCATTAAATCCGTCACTTCTGTGTATATTTCTTCCTGGTTGCCGTGTAGTCTGTAGTCATGCATACTGCATAGCCACGGCGCTCGACTTGAAGGAAATATGCATATCCTACCTACCTATTGAACCATATTTTATTTCGGAATAAATAAGCAACAAAATACAATTAGATATCGGCTTGGTGGTCTAGGGGTATGATTCTCGCTTAGGGTGCGAGAGGTCCCGGGTTCAATTCCCGGCCAAGCCCATCTTTTGACAAATCTTCTAAATTGTAAATGCTCCAGTATGAGTAATTATATAATCATCCAGGTGCTAAGATTAATGAGGGTAATCAGATTACTGAAACTCGCAAGGCACAGTGACCAGCTGATGATCATTGTCAATGTTCTCAAGAAAAGGTTTGCTTTTTTCATAGCTAAATTTCGTGTTCAATTTTCTGCAATTTTATTATTTAGAATCGAAATTTATGTTTTAATCAAATTGACAAATTTGACCGGCCTTCCTCCTAAATCATGTCAGTTTACATTTCGTCATATCACCAATAAACACTAATAAAACCACGATCCCAACCTCAGTTTGAACGAGTTAAGCATACTGGTCCTGTTATGGATGATTGGTATAGTGACGTTCGGCTCGATAATCTACTACGCGGATAATAACGAGGAAGTTAGTGAAGAAGATGGCGAGGTAGTGAGTACAATGTGTATAAACATAAAGCATGACAGCAGCTCTACTTGACAGCCTGCTCTACTGTGACAGCCTGCAGTGAGCAGTGATGATATGTTGCACCCCACCGTATCCGAGTGCCCTTGCATACATGTTGAAGTTGCAACCAGCGCCATTTGTATATATTGGCATGGCAACTACTGTCAATTTAATGCATATATATTGGAGAGTTGGCATAGCAGCCATAGCCAGCTTGCATATATATATATTGGCACAGTAAATATTGCCAATCAGCAATATTTATCGCCAAATAATTATCCCTCGTCAATGTCGCGCTGTCCCTCCTTTTTGCTTTTTAAGCAACTTGTGATCATAAGAATGTCAACAAGCTTGACAGATATGTTTGAGTTTAGAAGCCATGTTTCCTGACCGTGTGTTTTACGCCCCCTCCATGTAGATGTGCCAATGTGTCACGTGTTAACCAACTCGGAATATATTGTGTGTAATAATGTATGAAATGTTGCACGATTGTGTGTGAATATATTCGTAGCTGCTCGTGAACAATGTTTCTAATTATATCACCGATGACTCGACCGAACTGAATCTAAATCTGATACAATCTGGGAAAGTATAACATCTGTACTAACTTGGGATTAAAATGACTTTGGGTTCTCTTCGCCAAGTATGACTAATTGATTAAGTGATTATGATGAAATCCCTACTTTTCTGATCTTTAAGCGAATCACTTACAGTGGGATACCCTCTATTCTCACATTCTGAACAATTTCGGAATTGATAGTGAAAAATTGTCAATAATTTGGAAGCTCTTTAAAATGCATGTATAATCAACTGTGCTTATATTAATTAGTTTAACTGCTATTCATGTGCAATGTGCATTGCTTTTGCTTTTCATCTTGAGACCAATCACCAACAAAAGTTTTTTATAAATTTCATTGATTATTCCTGAATATCCTGATTAGCATGATTGAATTGGACCCGGAATGGCGGTTTCAAAGAAGAGATCCTCAGAAAAGTTGTATTTTAAGGCACTTTTTTGGGGCAGGCTGCCTCAACAATGTGATTGAATAATGAATAGTAATATATGTATTATGTATGCTGTTGCTTCTGGAGTTTCAAAAGTATAAATAAGTTTGATGCTTTTAATGCTTAATGCACCATTTTTCGTTGCCATGAATTAGCTAGATTACTCAATACTCATTTAGATTTTTGACAATTTATCACTATAAATCCCGATAAATTTATCAGGGACTTTGTTAGGAGTTGTTAAAGTTATCAATAAATACTGCAGTATGAAAGGGGACTCACGTGGTCATCATAAAATTCGCATTTTAAACTACAATTAGTTTGAAGGTAAACATTGATTTCATAAATGTGAAATTTTAAGACACGACAGAAAAAAGGTAGAGAAGTTTGTACCACTACCTCCTTATTACCCGAAATACAATCTACCAAACAGACGGTAGGAATTTGCACTGGCGGTCAAAATACGCCAACTATACATAGAAAGCTTCACAAAGCTTCATTGGAAGGGCTCCGGATCATGCTGTTTATACTATTGTATTCAATACCTCTTCTCATTTTGAGATGAGAAATATCTCTTCTCATTTTGAGATGTGAAATGATTTTCAAAATATTCGTGCTGCTTTGTTTTGCAATAACGCTTTTTTACACGCTTTTCAAAATCCACAATTTTCCTAATATGCTGTAATTGTTGTATGCTTATGGTCGCTTATTAACCAATTAATTAAATTTTGAATTATGCAATAAGTACAATTGACAAATTTTGGGAAAACTTACTATGAGTTATCTTGCAAAACTTAAAGGCCGCTCGTCAAATTCCATGCATTCGAAAGCTTTTTGTAAATGGCAGTTTGCTAAAAATAGGTTGTCGAATGCACACCACGGATACATTGAAAGTTGTTGACATCTAATTGGGATTACCACTCGACATGCTCATTAGGCGCCGCTCACTATAAACACTGCCCAAGCATAACGAATTTCCTTTGCACTGGCACGAACCTTCTCGAACTTATTCGCACATTAGTTGAAAGAAATTACGAGAACCCCCGATACGTTGGTATGCTCAAAAAGACGTGTATTTGGGCAAACATTCTAGCAGTGGGAAAATATTGTAGCAAAATAGGGCCTTAACCAGGACAAACTCCAGGACAAACTCCAAATTTTGTATCATTAGCACATCACAATATCACTGTTGTTCAAAACAAACATTTTCAGCAATCAGAACTGAAATCTATTATGATGGGCTGCTGGTGGGCGGTTGTAACAATGTCAACAGTTGGTTACGGCGATATAGTTCCAAAGACTGGTGCCGGTAAAGTTCTCGGCTCTGTCGTCGTGTTCCTGTCCATGATATTCCTCGCCTTGCCAATGACAATTATCGTGAGCAAGTTCAGTTCCTGCTACGACGATCTCAAGTACCAGGACGAGGACGATCGTTACTACGAGTCGTCCGATGAGGAGGACGAGGAAGATCCAGCAGAGTTCCCCAATCACAAGGCCTGAGGCAAAGGACAACCAACCACCGGTTTGATCTCAAAGCTAATATTTGGTCTGCCTGCGTTATATGCAAAGGGCCTTGCAGATGGGTATTGATAGGTCAGTTGACTCACTGTTTCAGTGTAAGAAGGCAGAACATGACAGCAGATTTTACCGAGGGAACGTTTAATGGTAAGATTGATGCTAAGACCGAAAAAAAGACGCAGACATGTCTGATAAGTTATTGATAAACCCTTTGTATTTTGAAATACGGGGCTGATTTTATCGTCAACAGAAAAATTGTAACTTAATAGCACAAGGTTCAGTTCCTTTTACGAATTTTACGATAGTTTTGTGCATGTGTATTACTTCACGCAGCGTGAGAGCTGAGATGTTTTGAAATTTTTTATACAAAAAGCGCAGAGATTGCGATGTAAATAGTTTGTGTACAAAGCGTGTGTATTTCTTGCGAGTTTCAATAAATGATATCAAAAATGGTAAGTAACGTCAAATAAATCAGAAAATGTTTTCCTAGAGAAAGATAGATCGAGACAGTCAAAATCTTAAATAAATAACCAATATTATCAGTAACAAAGATACATATGCACTAAGCAGAAAATCAACAAATCGAACTGAACATAATATGATATTACCAATATATGATTAAGAATTAGAAATAAATGTTGCGGGTAAAGAGAATCGGATGTAAAAAGCTATTGATAATTTCACGAATTGTCCCGCAAGGTGGCACAACAGTTCTCTATACTTTATACTCGTCCGGCTGGAGTTTTCAAGTCGTCAATCAGTTATGTCAGTATTAATACTTCATTTCTTCGAAGGTAGAATATAGTGATCATCATTTCTTTTTGTTGTAAAATAAGGTCATCGGGGCTTCCTGAGAAGAACCTATGAAGTTTGACAGACAGGAGCAGGGAAAAACAACAGTAACTAACAGTCAAAAATCCGATTAACCGATTCGTTGAAAATCGGGAATTAAGGCAAACCACTATTCAGAAATGTGCATTTTCAAAATGGGAAAGTAAATATAAGGATTGACTGTTTGTACATATAATTAATGTGGAAGTGGGGCATATTTTTTGACACGTGACAGCAATTATCCAATCATCATCCACTATTGACCAATCAAACACCATACTCAAAGCCACGTGTCAAAAAATATACTTTATCTCCCACCTGCCACCAAAATGCACATACATATAATACACTCTAATTCAAGTACTCAAAACAGATGCATCCAGCTTTAAAGGATAAAGGTACAAACCTTGCGTTTCCATGTTTCCAGCCAAACATTCTCCAATGTAACATCATTAGCGAGCGTCTTCTTGTTACAAGTCAACTCTATTTCGTCCTGATAAACAATATCTATTATTCACACAAACAAAGATATCATTGTTTGTTAAAACAATAACTTCAAATGGACCCATCTTTAATTTATCAAGTTATTGGTCGAGTTAAACACGTCTCATTACCCGAGGAGAATTTAAAGTCATTATCAAGCACGACACCCCGTGATATGATTATTAGGTCCGTTTATCTGCACCACGACTATTACACCTATCACTCGCGTGTTTAACCATTTTCGTTTAACCTAACCTATTGACCTATTGAGGTCAATAGACAAAGTAAGAGTAGTAGGTCAAATTTAAGAATTTGAATCGGTAATAAACCTTTTTATCTTTGCTTGATCTTCCGCGTAATTGAAACAAGTGGGGATCCAGACTCTACGGCGTAAGACTCTACGGCGGCGCCGTAAAAAAACAAGATTCTAGGGGGGCGTGAAAATCTCTAAAGCGTGAAAAAGCAGGACTCTACGGCGTGAAATATTATTTTCTCTATTTTCGATCAAAATAGATATAATTTTATTTTTAATTAGGATGTCCGTCGTCACAGGGAGTGTTCTTTCAAAGTCAGTTTTTACTCGTTAAAGTCCCGGACCCAAACAAGTGATGTTACATCCTTTTCTAAACTCAATTGTATGCTCATGTCATATCTGTAATTCAATTACTTCATGTTTGAAATTCCTCACCTGTATCTTTCTTTATCGTATTTCTATGAAATTGTACGGCCAATGGCCAATGCTAAGTAGTAGAGTTTCTCTTTATCGAGTTAGACGAGCGCCCGCTCTAAATAATCAGTTCAACATATTAATATTAAGTGCGCGCGCGATCTGATCTAGCTTAGCTTAGCTATATAGCTTAGCTAGTATATATAGTGCGCGTACATATATTTGCGCAGAGCATTCTATAATTTTACTGATGCGATTTCCAGATACATGTTTTCAGTAGATGAATCCATAAATTTGGAACATGGGCACATCGCAGTATTTGCCGTATTTGAATGCTAGGAAGGCTCAGTTCGGTTTTCTAAGATGGATATAGCCGTAAGCTAGGCCTAGGAGCCATCAAAAGTCGTATAAAATTACCCATGGAATGACCAGAAATGAACGAAAATGAACATTATTCTCAAAGTGCTCAGAATGGTTTAAAATGGGTCGGAAAGTGTTTACATTGGTCCTAGGACCACTCAAACCAAGTTTGGGAATCACTGTATGTCTAGAACCGATGTGAAGGTGGTTCCAATTTTGATTTTTGTAACCATTTTGGGAACATGGGGACATCGAAGTATTGGCTGTATTTAAGTGCTGGGAAGCCTCAATTCGGTTTTCTAAGATGGATATAGGTAAAAACTAGGCCTAAGAGCCATCAAAACTCAAATAACATTACCCAGGTTCATGGAATGAACGAAAATGAACAAAAATTAATATTGTCCTAAAAATGCTCAGAACGGTTTAAAATTGGTCGGAAAATGTTTATATTAGTCCTAGGACCACTCAAACCAAGTTTGCGAATCACTGCATGTCTAGAACCGATGTTACCAATGTTCCAAAATGTTCCAATTTTGGCACAATAATCCTCCTGAGAATCCAGATTTTTGGAACATGGGCACATCGAAGTATTGGTTGTATTTAAGTGCTGGGAAGCCTCAATTCGGTTTTCTAAGATGGATATAGGTAAAAACTAGGTCTAAGAGCCATCAAAAGTCAAATAACATTACCCAGGTTCATGGAATGAACGAAATCGTGTAAATCGTGTAAATGAACAAAAATGAAAATTTTCCTTAAAGCGCTCAGAATGGTAAGAAAATGGTGGCAAAGAGTCAATATTTTCGTCCAACAGAGTCTTAAAGTTGCATTCAGAATTATGTACAATTAGCACACGTACCTCCAAGAGAAGGCAGAAATTATTTTATTGGGCAACTATTTTGGTTTTAATAATCCCCCAATATATTGATATAAATTTTTGACATCATTAGCTGTATTTGTTCGTTGAGGGATGAAGGTTGCAGGTGAAAGGGTTGGTTGAGCGGCGCGAGGTAGGTTGCTGGTGAAGGGGTTGGTTGCGTTAGGTAGGCTGGTGGTGAATGAGTTGGTTGAGGGATGAAGGTTGCTGGTGAAGGGGTTGGTTGAGTGAGGTGGACTGCTGGTGCTTCTTTGAACTGGTAGATAAAGAGGTAGGCTCATCAATTTAGTGAAGGGATTCATTGTCGTTGTAGTTGTTGTGGTTAACAGAGAGGGAAAATGATTTGTATAACTTAATTATCTATTTATTCTCTTCTTATTCATTAACAAGCTTGCTAAGTTAATCCTATTGTTGATGACCTGATCTGATCTTACGCCTCTACATCCGATCACACCAAATAAGATCGGATAACCTTGCTACGCTCGGATCACCTTATTTTTTTTCTACCAGTTAGATTTTTTTCTACCAGTTAGATTTAGAATAGATTTTAAGATTGCCCTACTTGCCTACAAGTGTTTAAATAATATAGCTCCTCCTTACTTAAAAGAGTTGATATCTCCTAGGCAGCAAAGTTTAAAAAATGTACGTCTTGATAATGATTATTTTTACCTTAGTTTTCCGCCCTCTCCTAACTATGTAAACACAGAGAAAGCTTTTAGTCACTGTGCAGTTAAAGTATTTAATTCCTTGCCATACGACATAAGATCATCTGAGTCAGTTACATCTTTCAAGACCAAACTTGAAACATACTTCTTTTCTCTAGCATTTGATTGATTTTGCATTTACATAGGCAAAATGAACTTGTCATGTCTTATTTTCAATTAAACTAAGCTCAGTTAATGTAAGAGCCGCTTTAGAAAGCACTGGAGTTTATCTCCAGGATTAAATTATATCGAGTTATATGATTTAGCTATAACTCTATAAGGCGGTTTATAAATGTTGTATTTATTATTATTATTATTCAGATCACATCTTTATTTGCTTCCACACATCTATTACACGAAGTGATGTGATACAAATGAAACTGATGTGATATAAATATAGGGTGTACATTGTGTGACTGTCTGACTGTTTAGTGTTTATGGAATCACTGCATGCCCAGAACCGATACGAGGGGTGCAGAATACCGAACCATCTTAACAGTACAGTAAATGAATAGTCTGTTGATTGGCCTTATGACTCTTTCGTAAACTCTTTGGAATTGCTCAGAGCGGTTTAAAATTGGTCGGAAAGTGTTTGTATTGGTCCTAAGACCACTCGAATTGGAACATTTTGGAACATTGGTAACATCGGTTCTAGACATGCAGTCATTCCCAAACTTGGTTTGAGTGGTCCTAGGACCAATATAAACACTTACCGACCAATTTTAAACCGTTCTGAGAATTTTAAGGACATATATCCATTTTTGTTCATTTTCGTTCATTCCATGAACCTGGGTAATATTATTTGACTTTTGATGGCTCTTAGGCCTAGTTTTTACCTATATTCATCTTAGAAAAACGAATTGAGGCTTCCCAGCACTTAAATACAGCCAATACTTCGATGTGCCCATGTTCCAAAAATCTGGATTCTCAGGAGAATTATTGTGACAAAATTGGAACATTTTGGGACATTGGTAACATCGGTTCTAGACATGCAGTGATTCCCAAACTTGGTTTGAGTGGTCCTAGGCCCAATATAAACACTTTCCGACCAATTTTAAACCATTCTGAGCACTTTGAGAAGAATGTTCATTTTCGTTCATTTCTGGTCATTTCATGGGTAATTTTATACGACTTTGATGGCTCCTAGGCCTAGCTTACGGATATATCCATCTTAGAAAACCGAATTGAGGCTTCCCAGCACTTAAATACAGCCAATACTTCGATGTGCCCATGTTCCAAAAATCTGGATTCTCAGGAGAATTATTGTGACAAAATTGGAACATTTTGGAACATTGGTAACATCGGTTCTAGACATGCAGTGATTCCCAAACTTGGTTTGAGTGGTCCTAGGACTAATATAAACACTTTCCGACCAATTTTAAACCGTTCTGAGTATTTTTAGGACAATATTCATTTTTGTTCATTTTCGTTCATTCCATGAACCTGGGTAATGTTATTTGAGTTTTGATGGCTCTTAGGCCTAGTTTTTACCGATATCCATCTTAGAAAACCGAATTGAGGCTTCCCCGCACTTAAATACAGCCAATACTTCGACGTGCCCATGTTCCAAAAATCTGGATTCTCAGGAGGATTATTGTGCCAAAATTGGAACATTTTGGAACATTGGTAACATCGGTTCTAGACATGCAGTGATTCCCAAACTTGGTTTGAGTGGTCCTAGGACTAATATTAACACTTTCCGACCAATTTTAAACCGTTCTGAGCATTTTTAGGACAATATTCATTTTTGTTCATTTTCGTTCATTCCATGAACCTGGGTAATGTTATTTGAGTTTTGATGGTTCTTAGGCCTAGTTTTTACCTATATCCATCTTAAAAAACCGAATTGAGGCTTCCCAGCACTTAAATACAGCCAATACTTCGGTGTGCCCATGTTCCAAAAATCTGGATTCTCAGGAGGATTATTGTGACAAAATTGGAACATTTTGGAACATTTTGGAACATTGGTAACATCGGTTCTAGACATGCAGTGATTCCCAAACTTGGTTTGAGTGGTCCTAGGACTAATATTAACACTTTCCGACCAATTTTAAACCGTTCTGAGCATTTTTAGGACAATATTCATTTTTGTTCATTTTCGTTCATTCCATGAACCTGGGTAATGTTATTTGAGTTTTGATGGTTCTTAGGCCTAGTTTTTACCTTTATCCATCTTAAAAAACCGAATTGAGGCTTCCCAGCACTTAAATACAGCCAATACTTCGATGTGCCCATGTTCCAAAAATCTGGATTCTCAGGAGGATTATTGTGACAAAATTGGAACATTTTGGAACATTTTGGAACATTGGTAACATCGGTTCTAGACATGCAGTGATTCCCAAACTTGGTTTGAGTGGTCCTAGGACTAATATAAACACTTTCCGACCAATTTTAAACCGTTCTGAGCATTTTTAGGACAATATTCATTTTTGTTCATTTTCGTTCATTCCATGAACCTGGGTAATGTTATGCTACTTTCGATGGCCCCTAGACCTAGCTTGCAAATATATCCATCATTTACAATTATTTTTGGCACTATTTAGAGCTCATTAGGGCAAATAAATGCATGGCACACTTTTGGCACAATTTTGGCACATGTTCCAAAAATGTTCCAAAAATGTTCCAAAAATCTGGATTCATCAACTCCATGTTTTAAGAAGACCCTTTGCAGAGGGTCTATTCTCGGTTTTTGTGGCACTGCCCCATCTTGTAATTATTATCCTATTATAGAGCTATTGCCTACATTACTATTTATTCTACCTTATTCTCTATCTTATATTATTTGTTTACCTTTATAGGAACTACTCACTACAGACTAAACAACTCTGAAATGTCTGAGGGAAAGTGGGCCACAAAAGGGTCCAAGCTGCGCCAAAATTTTAGTTAAACCCTATAACGTTTTAAGATGGTTTACTCTCAGATTTAATATTATTGGTTTACCTTCACAGCAATTACTGTAATAATTATATTCCAAACACATGCCACAAATAGGGGCAAGTAATGGGGTCGTGCCACAAAGAAGACTAAGTGACATATTGTGGTGAGCGGTGATTGGAGATACTCCTCAATAACTGATAGACTGATGTGATGACCACACCTTTTTCAAGTAGCCATTGTGTCTATATCCCTAATCAGTAAACTGAGTGTAAAGGCCTTTGTTTCAGAGCACACGTAAAACCAGTCAGGTTTCGGTGAAAGTGGCTACCTTAATACAAGTGACAAACTTTGCGTCTGCTCTGAGACTAATTGAAATGACGTGTAAAAACTAACTGAAATTAGAGTCTTTTGTTTGATGTACTTCGTGAGATGCTCCACTTTGAGTTTCATGGAACAGCGGATGAATTTCATGGGCATCTGCGGAATTGATAGTTCCTTCCTGTGGATAGATTAATGTTTAAAAATTGGATAATATAAGTATCATTTTTAATTATTATTATAATTAAAATTTGATAATATAATTACTTCTTTTTATTATGATATAATTATTGAATATACAGACTATTTTGATGACTCACTTAACGGGCTCTATACAGAGAGACATTTTCAAATCGTTTGTATGGAACCACGTTCTACCATCATCCGGGGGAAACTTGGCTGGTTCTGAGTCTACAAATTGGGAGTGTTAATAAACATAAAGTCATTTTAGCACCTTTGAAATTTAGTAGTTAAACTCAGTGCTGCATTTACGAAACATAATGATTTAATCCATATTATAACATTGTTACACTAGGAACTTAATTAAAAGAGCTGAAAATTACTCAAGATAAATCACAAATCTCGAAAGGTTCGAAATCCCTCAACTATTTCGGATAACAATTTGTAAGCAAAAAAGTGTCGGTCAGAAAGGAAAAATATTCGAAGACTGGTACTAGGAAGTCTTGGTATTATTTACCTTGGGTATTAGGAGTTATGGGACGGGAGCTGTTACCATTGAGAGGCACTGACAATCCTCTGTTAGCGTAGAAATCATTCCGCCTCTTTATCTCACTCTCCATCAGCCCAGGTACCAGCTTGTTTATTACGTCTTGTAGTTTTGTGTCAGTCCTGAAACCACAAGTGGCTTGATGTTGTGATGTTAACACGTCATAACATTCAATTTAACAAAACTATAACACAAACATCAATAACATTGTGATTCATAATCTATAAATAAGATTATGTGTATTTGGAAGTCACAATTAACACCGTTCCCAAACTTGCGATCCTTCACTCCAGTCTAAAAACGTATTCTTAAAGGCAAGAGGAATTACCCGATATACTGCATGGGAGCTGTTTCGTGGATCAGGATTTTACACTGGGGACAGGTTTGTCTTGTCTGCAGGTGTTTTACTAAACACGATTTACAAACTGAAGAAAACAGGATTTTATATTATCATGTCTGTAAAAGGTGCCGCCTGTTTTTTTCAAGCGATACTAATTAAATTAATACTAATTGATCATGATAGATATAATATGAAAGACAGTCAAAAATGTAAATTTCTATAACGTGACTCACAAGAGTGCAGGCATTCTGTGACAGTGGTAGCATCCACAATGTAGCCGCTACATATACTGCAAACTATGTGCTCGTTCAACTCTTTCAACTTCATTGCAGCCTGAAATGTTTAAAATGTAAATAATCGACATACCAGGAATCTACCAGAATGCCACTCTGGCTTCATTCTCAAATATAATATCGATTATAGGTAAAAATACCAATCTATCAAGAGTTTGCATATGAAAAGGTTTGAAGTGTTAGAAAAATTCATCCTCAGAATCAATGGAATACTGCAGTGTTACCTCTTTTTTCACAACAGTAATCTTGATTTCAGATTTGCGGCGTTTAGGTGCAGGTTTTTCAGGAACAGCAAAAGATTCAGGACGAACAACCGCCTTAATGTCGCAAACCAAGCAATCATCGTCATCATCGTGTCCTTTCCATTCGACTGGTATTATTTCTGCAAGATATTGGATAAACTATATCATTTTATATACAACAAGAGATAGCTGTAATGTTGATTGTATAGTATAAATAGTAAATACAGCAATGTAATCAATAAAACAGTAACTTAAATGTGCCAATTTATGACTTGATAAGCTCTGTAGTGATCCCAGTTATAAGACAGATAATAAAACCAACCTTTTACTTTGTTGCTTGGTTCTGATATCTGGGACTGACAGTTGAAACATAAGTACCTGAGGGGTAGTCGTATTCACAATCTATTTATATTTTATCAATCTTCGGCGATGTCAGCTTAAAATAAATCCGCAAAGCCAGCACTCACTAGACTAATGCTCGATTATATTTTCAACATAGCCAGTATTCAGTAAGTTGGTAATTATTTAAATTAAACGAATTTAACAAGTTCATGTGTATCTACGCTCAATGAACTTGTTTTCTTACTTTGGATGAACATCAGTCCTGTCGTCCGAAATGTCAACACCGAACACCTCCTTAATCTGTGTCTCAAAGGTTTGACTGTGATAGGGCCGTCCTTTGTTGCGACGCTCGCCACAGATCCTACACAGTTTCTGAAGATTGTTGTAGTGCTCCGGCTGGTGCGTTGTCATTTTCATGCCATCAAATCTTTCTTAAGACTGGAGGTGCGTTATAAGATTTTATTAGGTTAGAAAGTCTTGAATTGTGTTAATATAGCATAACAATATATGATTATAGTTTAGAATTTGGTTAAGTCCTTAGTTTTTTGACATAAAAAATAATTTCAGTTTTCACTAGATCATAGGAATTATGTTATTATATTAGTCAAACACAATCACACAGAAATAAAAGAATAAAAAGAACTATATTCTACATGTTTCTCTATTAAAATTTAAAATTTAATCATGAATATTCGATTGTTACCATTTTATTAATCTAACTTATTTTCTGATTTAAAAACGAATTGACTGTTAGCAGCACTATCCCAACTTTTAAAAATAAAAATGTTTTAAAATTGGTCAAAAACTGACCACATCAAGGTATTAAAAATGAAAAATTAACAATTCTTTTGCAAGGACTAGGTATATGCTAATGAAAAAAGCTGCAGATCATATATTGATTAAAACATAGCAGTATAAATTAAAAACCTGGATTTTTGTATCAGAAAGTCTAGGATCCTTAATATCATTATATTTGTGGACATGCTAAACATTTTTGGACACTGGACATGCTAAACATTTGTGGACACTGGACATGCTAGACATTTGTGGACACTGGGCATGTTAGACATACTTATAACAATTTTAGTCACATTTCGTTTTCTACCGATTTTGTCAGAAGCCTGGTAGATTAAAGGGTAGGAAAAAAGGGTGTTCAATTTTCATGTCAGGGGGCATAATTTAAAAATCGTAGTGTTTTCCTAGAAGCACACAACCCTTCAATAACTAACGTAATTTTCTCTGAAATTGTTAAACAATTCTGATACGAATTATGTTAGTTATTAAAGGGTTGTGTGTGGGTAGTTACTTCTGGGCCACCCTGTATAATAATTAAAAGAATTGCTTAAATAGTATTACATTCATTAACGTTTTTATTCCGCTAATAAATAGCATACTAAGAAAAGGTTACTGTACGTTATTTCTTTTCTAAGTACATTTATTTTTGGTAACCAAATAATCAGCAACATTATACATAACAAACATTTTGTGATAGTAATACTCATTACTGGCAGGTTCAGTAGGAGGATTTCTCTTATAATATAATTTATGAGGATCAAAGAGTGGGTTAACAAAATCCTTGTAAAGAGGATAAGGCATAGCACAGTCTCCGGGAATATAATTATTTTTGTCTGAGATACGCTCATCAAGACGGTCACATCGTGAATGTTTAGGACAAAATCTACCCCCGTTATACTGTATGTAGTCCAAACTCAAATTCTCAGGTGAAATGACATCGTGACAGTGTACTCGACTTTTTGACGTTTTACGAGACCAAACATCATCCCTGTGAAGTTCCATAACATGAACTTCCTCGCCTGCTGAGTTGAGACAACTTGCCGTTTTTGTGATAAAACCACATTTTCCTTTTCTGAAACAGTTAGGGACTCCCGGATGTTGGAAATGGTACATGGTAGCCTCGTCAGTCATCTCACTTACAAACAGGGTTACATTTTCTTCATTTGAGGACAAGACATCGCTATGTTTTATCAATTTCAAAAGTTGAATGTATTCTTTGTTATCAGGATGGAAATCATTGTGGTTTGCAAACTTTTGGCATCGTTTGTATCGCGTCAATTCCCGTCCCCATTCATTAAGACACGAACACTTAGATTTACGATACATACTATACCTCATAGATTCCAAGCCGTTGAGTATTTTTCTTACATAATCTCTGTGAGCTCTAGTGAAGCCTCGCTTGCAACAAATGTCTTCTATCTGCTCAAGAATGCTACAAGGATCAATCTTAGGCAGCTCCCCATCAGCAAACTTTAAAATTATGTACACAATGAAATCAACAACATTATGAACACTTTCAACAAGTTTGTGTTGACTTATGTGGACCACATCTGTTGAATCTAGAAAAACCCACTCCCTCATCCAATCAAAATTTTTTCCCGATCCATGACTCAAAGTGCCGAAGACACAAAAGAGTCAAGGACAAGGGTTAGCGATTGAGGTTTTTTTTTGTATATGGTAGCTTTGCGACCGTGCGTGCGTGCGTGCCCTCGCCCCCAGTCTAGTTATCGCCCACGTGTCTGCCTGCGCAAAGTTATTTTGCGCGATCATCTGAATTAAACAATTGTTGGCGCGCGGTGCTGAAATGTTCAAGTACATTGTTAATTTTACCATGTACGCATCCCGATAGGGACTAATTGATAGCATTGTATTATTATTTTGAGTTAGTATTACTATTTTGCACAGATCCGTGTCAGGTTGCATAAACAATAAACATATAGTTACATAGAAATATACACGATTTTCAAATTCAATATCTAGAATTATATCAACTGGGCGGCGCTCGGCCTGTCACTTCGCCATATCTGCATGCTTATAAACAGCAAAGACTGGGGTCCCCAGGTGGTACTGGTATGGAATATGATAGAATACTTCATCCCGGATCGGGAAATTGAGCGGCCATCCACAAAAGAAAAGCGGCCGCATTTCTTGTTGAGATTGTATATTTGTTGTATATCCTGAAACATCGGATATTTAGTGGAATCAGCAACAGTGTGACACACAAACTTCATATCTTCCAGTGACTGAGATCCGAACTTTGTCATCAGGATTTCGACAACCTGGTGATACAATTGCGGTTGCCTAATTCTGCAGAGGGATAAGTTTACATTTTCTATCAGGTACCTACATGCAGAGCCATCAGCCAGCCCAGATTCCTTGTTATCGTTGTCCCCAACAAGTCTGATAACTATTTCCAACAAGATATTCAGCTGAGGATATGGAATGATCCGAAGAAGAACATCAATATCTAGACGACTAAAGTTGTTAACCTGAAGCTTAACGAATTCCTTGCCAAATTGTGGACCGTCATCATAAAACATGTTAGCAGCTATTTCCCTATGCTGATGATTATCAATAAACAAATCAATAAATGACCTGAATCGGTATCCCCATTCTTTATCATCTCCCCATATTCTAATCATGTATTTGCACTCCTCCAAAAGAAACATAGAGTCACTAAACTCCCATTCCTTCATTTGGAAATCAATTCGACCAGCGCTTTCATTGTAGTCTCTTAGATTACTAATACCATTTATTAACCCTTTTGACTGAATAAATCTTTTTATGTAGAGATATAGATGACATGCATCTCTCATCCAAGATATGTCAAATACCATGATCAGTTTATGAAGTTCTCTTAAATGCTGCTTCTCAATGAAATCAAACCATTTAGTATCTGAATCTAAATATGTCAAAAACAATACGACAGTTTCAGTGCTGAAATCCAGTAGATCTATCTCTGTTTGGTAGAGCTCATTGATCATTTCATCAAAGACTGGACTGTCTGTGACTAAAATGTCACGGCTGACTGTTAATGGATCTTGACCTTGCACTTTGATTATTATCAGATCCTCCATACTATACCTTGGGAGTGCAGTGGTGATAAAATTAGCATATTATAGATGTTAATAAAATTTATGAAGTTACGGCAGCAGAATAAACACTAAAATTCAGTTATGTATCAATTGCAATTCTTCTGAAAATAAGAAATTATTCCCTTTTAATAATAATGGAAAACATTTCAGTTTGATCGACTAAGCTGACAGATTATTGATTAATTAAGTCATTCAAGTTAATTACATTTGTTGCACATATACATGTACATAGAGGCCATAGTACGATGAGTACTGTATAAGATTCCGGTAGGAATAATTTGATATGCGATATCAGGACATGAGGACAGGGCCTACAAGCTTGGTTTTGGATTAAAAGGTGCTAGGACAATTTACAATCTTCTAGCAAGACCCCTTTCAATATACAGACTGGCTAGTTTGGATATTCTCGGCTCAAAGTTGTTACAGTTAAACCACTATTTACCGCAGATTTGGGAGAAAGGAAGCATCTGCGAACCGCGGTAAATCAGGTTTTGAACTGTTCAACATTTATGATAGTAGATAAAAGTAGATATTTAGAGGATCAATTAAAATGATCTCAAGCAACAAAGATCAAGCGCAGTAAAATCGATAATTTTGCATGATTGTAGTCAGCAACTATAGACTAAAATGTAATAAAGACAATGGGAATTAGTATGGATTAGTTGATTGACGATGTCAACCCTTCAAGATCGTTGCTCTGTGAAGGGATCTACAAAGGGTTCTACAAAGGAATCTACAAAGGGATCTACAAAGGGATCTACGAAGAGATCTACAAAGGGACTCACAAAGGGATCCACGAAGAGATCTACAAAGGGATCCACAAAAGGATCTACGAAGAGATCTACAAAGGGACTCACAAAGGGATCCACGAAGAGATCTACAAAGGGATCTACAAAGGGATCTACGAAAAGATCTACAAAGGGATCCACAAAGGGATTTACGAAGCAATCTAAGAAGGGATTTAAGAAGGAATATAAGAATGGATTTACAATGGGATTTGCGAAGGGTCTATGCATCTTCAATGCGAAGCAAGAATGATAGTTTGTGCAGTACGTCGAAGCGGCGAAGTCCTCCAAATGGATTAGTTGATCAACCTTCCCTGTGAGAACGAGGATAAGATTTGCAATGTTGAAACAACTCTTATTACTCTACGAGGCCAGGGTAACGAGGAAAGAAGGTGGACACCAAACACAAGATCCATCTATCAGAAGAACACCTGCGAACTGCGGTTAATAAGGGTTTAAACTTTTCAAAATTTCTGATAGTAGATAAAAGTAAATATTTAGAGGACTAATGAAAATGATCTCAAGCAACAAAGATCAAGCGCAGTAAAATCGATAAAGTACAGGGTGGACCAAAAGTCAGTACCCATACGTTGGCCTTAATAGCTCAGTCACTGAGTGCCCAATTGAAATAATTCTTTCTGGTATGACTTACTACCACCACTGGTTCGAGGAATTTGTCAAATCGAAAAATATTCGTGTTCATTAAAAAAAATAAAGGTTCATTTTCGCATTTATTTGATAGTTTGGATAGTCGGATCAATCCAA